ATAAAAGTCTGATTTAATTCAGTTCACATACAAAACAATCTTTTGCGTGGGAACGCAAAACAATTTTGCGAGGTAACGCAAAAGTATTGTGAGGTAACGCAAAAGTATTGTGAGGTAACGCAAAGAGATTACGAGGTAACGCAAAAGTATTGCGAGATAACGCAACACTATTGCGTGGGAATGCAAAAGAAAAAAATCTCCCTATGTCGCCTCGCAGGCTCTGTACAGAAGACAGGTGTGTGCCAGGTCTGGACACTGTTTTTAAGATGGAATGCCAAAACTGGCCCAGTTGTGGTTTGGTTTATGTGGTGRTGACCCATGCATGGACCACAAAGAGCTGGGATCCTTTGTTATAACTGGGCCAAAGATTGCTATGTGGGAGACATCAGATGGAGATGAACAAAGGTAAGGAACTGATCCCTAACCCTCCACTGAGACTATTTATGATATTGTMCAGTGTCAGATGTCAGACCCAGATAAACCAGCTACTGCTGACTACAAAACTGGACCGTACCAGGCCCTGACCCCACTCTGTGATGGGCTCATTGTATCCATATGGAGGTCAGCCTGTGTTAACCAGGCCTGTTATCAGATCCTCTCCTCTGCAGCTGGGACCAGCCTGGAAGGAGGAGGAGTTATAAATCCTGGGAGCAGACAGTTTCAGCCAATGAGAGGAGATCTGTGTTGAAGATAACAAGTTGAACCTGAATTGAGACGGAAAGAAGTAAAGCACTGTGCCTTTGTTTGTTTAACGTGTACTTTTTTTTTTCATAACCAGAGAAATAAAGCATCTGTACTAATATCCTTTATGTATAATCATAAGAAATTATGTTTTCTCTTTGATTGAGACATGGAGAGGTGAGGAGAGGTGACACAGTGGCGCTAAGTTAGACACCATTCGGACTTGAAAACACATAGAGTTGAAAATTAGAATTTTCTTCCATCAAGGAACCAGTGTTCAGTTTTCTCTTTTACGTATTGCAGGATGGCAGAGACTCATGTTTGTTGCTGACGACAGCTGATAGTGGTGCACGCAGTTGTCACTAATTTTCCCATGCGAAAAAAAATACTAAAGTATATTTTAAATAGACTGCATTTTACAGAAATATTTTCTTAATATATTATCAATAGAATATACTTTTCAGGATTATATTCAAAATGTAAAAAAAGTTTATTTCAAAAACCATACTTAATATACGTTGTTTTAAAATACAGTATATTTCAAGTACACTTTATA